CAGTCGGCAAATTTAAATTTTCGCCAGTGCTGTGGCGCTTCAATCTTTGGCTATGTCTTGGGCTACTCAAATATTTTATGTTTTTAATACTAAATTAACATCTGAAGTATAATTTTTTTATTATTTTTTTATTTTTCAATATATTTATTTTGTTTGTACAAAATAAAAAAATAATTTTTAACGATACAATAGTCTTTGTTAGGCTTAACATTGACGAAAATTCAACGCGAAGCGACACGCAACGGATAAAAATTTCGACATCGGATACGTTAAACTATTTTTTCGTACATAAATCAGTTATCCGGACAACCCCAGTCCCCAATTGATTCGGAAAATTGACGCTCTACTGTATTCTAAAAAGAGAAAGATATGATTATATAAATATTTTAGAACGTTTTAATTAAATTTCTTCTTCAGGATTGAATGTGTGTTATACAGTACTTAAGTAGTCATTTGCAATGTCAATTTAAAATCATCATTTAAATCACTTTTATTATTGTATCACTTGGTATTATTATTATTTATATTTTTATTTATTAATGTTACAGCTTATTCTAATGTTAATTTTCAGATGATATTGGATAAGAACTAACTTATTATTAAATAAAAATTAAGTAAAACCTAAAAGTATTAATTCAAATATTGTAAAGTTTTATAAAATATGGATTAAGAGTAAGAGTTTATAAAAGTGTATCATTTCTGTTCATTACTTTTTGTGATTAATATTCTTAAAAAAACTGGAAATTGTTTTATTTGTATTTAAAATATATAAAATCAAATATAATCAATAGATGATGTAAAATTCTATAAAATTATTCTCTCTTAATTAATAAACAATTTGAAAATGTATTAATAAAATAAATGTAAGCTTAAAATAAAATTTAATATAACAAATTTTGTTCAATAATTTATATTTTAGTCTTGCAGAACTTAAAATTCTTCAAGATGATACAAATAAACAGGAAGAATTTTTAAATGAATTACCAGAACTTATTCATTTGACTAAATTGAAAAATGAATACATAATGAAAAATGAAGAACTTGCTCGTGAGTAGTTCCTTATTTCAAATGTAAAAGATTTTTTAAATTTCTATATCATATTATCTGTAATAATTGCCTACTGGGTGATTTTTTTTTCCTTCAGTTTTGGTGGGAAATTATTGGAGTAAAAAGTATTGATGTTGTAAAAAGGAAAAAAAAGCACAATATCAGAAGATATATAAAACTAATGTAACAACTAAATATTGTAACAAATACACTGTTTGTCAAAAGTTAAGCATAGATCACAAAAATGACAATATTTTCAAAACCACTTAAACAAATTAATAAAACTTTCATAGGGTTATACATACCTACTTTAGGTATACAGTGCATACATTTGTGAAAAAATAGGTTTGAATACAAATGTTGAGGTCAGTTTGGAATGTGACCTCATCTAGCAAGCTTGACAGCATCTACTCATACCTTCAGTAGGAAATTGCAAAAAGTGAGAAGACAGTGATTGTCATTCATGCAAAAGAGTGGTTTGGAAGTCATCGAGGGTTTGTGGAGGGGATAGGACAGCTGGAATGTCTCCCCAGAGAATCTTATAGATTTTCTGTGGGATTGAGATTTGAATAATATGCTGATCAATCTATTCATTCTATTCCCACTTCATAAAGATATTGGTCAACCAGTCATGCTTGATGTGGATGAGCATTGACATCCATTAAAATGAAATCATCTCCATCATCTACAATTGCCAGCATAAGGTTTGACATAGTGGTCTGATACCTCATCCCAATACCTGTGAGAATACCTCCATCAAACACATGGAAGACGTGCATCCACCTAATGAAAACTTAGCCCAGACAGCACCATCACTAAAAGTATGTCTTTGCATTATGTTCTGTGGTTTGTAATGGGTTCCAACCTCTCTCTATATCATTATAAGCCTGCTGTCAGATTCCAGGGAGAACCTAGATCTATCTGTGAACCCATTGTTATCAAATTAAGCATGCTCGCTCCTGACACCACTTCAAGTGGGCCTGTCTTTGTCTGGAGGTTAAAGGCACATATACTGCCAGTTGTTGTATGTAGAGTCCAGCTTTGTGAAGCCTTCTGGTAACAATTGAGACAGATACCTGCCTTTCTGTGGATGACACAAGGCTATCACACACAGAGATGATATAGATGCCCTACTGTTTCTATTGGCTAGGAGCCATATACAACGATTATCCCGAGGTATTATCCATGGATGACCTGAAACAGGTCTTCTGACAATGGTTTCTGTTGCTTGGAATTGTCTTCAAAGCTTTGAGATAACAGAATGATAGACATTAAAGAATCTCACCACTTCAGTAATTGATTGACTGGTCTCCAATTGTCCAACAGTTCTCCATCTTCCTAAATCCTGTAAACATCATCTTTGGGACATGATTATATACTGTGCAGCATAACAATTTTGTTTTCTGTTCTTTATTGTCTACAGTACCCTTTCAGCAAAAATAGTGCTCTCTGGGGAGATGTTGGTATTTTTCCAGTGTTCTTCATTTGTATATTTGCATACATTATACATTATTTTAAGGGGGTAAATGTTAATTTTCATACTAAATTATACCTAAACATAATTTTCATTAAGCTTTCATTCTATTTAGGCTTTTATTTAGTTTTTTATGACTCATGCTTAACTTTTGATGAACAGGGTATATAAAAAGTCATTTAATGAAGTACTTGAATTACCTTAGTTAACTTTGTAAATTTCAATAATTTCCAATATCAGTAATAACAAATATTGATAACAGTATTATCCAGTATTTATTTTTCTGACTTAATCATTTTGATAGTTGATTAAATATTATCATTCATTAATATCAAACACCACTAATATACCAGTATTTAGGTCAATAGTCATTTATCTCATAATATGAGTTAGATAGGCAATTATGACAAAAATATTTATATTGATGATTATTACAGGAAATATGGTATATTTTTCTTTGTAAATGTCATTGCAAATAAAATATATTTATGTAAAAACTATTTGGCCTAATGTAAGTTTATGTAGAATTCTATATAAATATGAAGTTTAAAATAGAATAATTATTTTATAAAATATATATTGACAATTAAATAAAATAAATTTTATTGTTTAAATTGGAGTTTTATCTTAGTTATAACAAACAAATAAAATAACAATTATTTAATTTTGACTAACATTATTTCTAATGATAAAAAATTTTTTATTACATTTTATTAAAAATGGTTCATTTAAAAACAAATTTTAAACACAGCAACAATACTTTTATAACTGCATATTATTTTTAGTTTTTAATAGTTATTTGGGAATTGACTTGTATCTGCTATAAGAATATTAATATAAAGTTTCAAAAATTAGAATTAGATGATAATTTTTCTCTTGACTGATTTCTTTACGAATTCTTTCAAGATACTAAAAAGATTACAAAATTATTGGTAATTACATTGTAAGTGACATTCATTAAATGTAATAAAAAAATTTTATTAAATATGATGATTGATTAAGCTCAGTGTTTTGAATGACCATTTTATTTATTTATTTATTATACATCAACATAAGTAATGCTGTAAGACTTAGATTACTTCCTGGGAGGTATAATCTTAAGCCTTACAGTATTTTAATTATTTTTAAATTAAAATCCTTTCATTTTTTCACATCATTAAATTATGTATTCAGCTACTCTAAATAACATTTCAGGTTAAAGCTGACAGGGTTTGCAAATGTGCTAAGCAACATTCATAAATAATAGCAGATTTGAACTACTGTATAAAATTTCAGGTTTAATTTGCTTTGTTTTAAACAGTTTTACTATTAATTGTATTTATTTGGATTAGAAGATGAAATACAGTACTAGCCATTGTGATAGTTTAGTTTGACTAATTACTGCACCTTTACCAGTGAGTTTTTTAGTAGAATGCTAACAATTCTGACCCGGTTAACAGGTCGTTCTCAAGCTTCAAAAGTCAAAAGTGGAGTGCTAGTGTTGGAAGGAAGGATAATGGAATAGATTCAGACAGAGCAAATAATTGGAGAGAAAGTGCATTATGACAGTGGCAGTTAATATGGCAAAGTGAAATGCCAGACAAGCAATGTGTTTCCTATGTCAATTCATCAATTTTAAACATATTGTTTGACGCATTCCATATTTGAATTGCACTGGTCAAAAGCATGAGGAGATATTGCCAAAAGAAGGAGAGAATCCCTGTCTCTTCTCTTTATGCACATGTTGGTAACAGACTGGTTGTAAATTTCGCATGTCTCCATAACGATAGTGTGGGAGGGACAAGAGACGGTTCAGATGATTTTGGCCACCTGCCAGTCTATGTCTGTGTTGGGAAGTTGTGTGTAGGAAGACAAAACTATAGTTCTGTGGTTCTCAATCTTTTTGAAGTCTAGGAACACTAAACTTTGACATTTTTTTCCTCAGAACACTTAAAATATATCAGCTTTAAAGCAGGGTGGCAAATCTTTTTGAAATCAAGAGTGCACTTGGTCTAGTATATGATGTCATTGGCATTTACTGATCACATTCCCATACAAAAATTATTTCACATTATATTGATTTTTCTTTTGCAATAATTTTTTAATTGTATATTTAATTTTTTCACAGAACACTTGAAGTGGCTTCACAGAGCACTCATGTTCTGTACACCATGGATTGAGAGTCACAGCTATAGCTGACTCTCAATTTTAAAGTAATTTTTGCATTGGTCAGCCTCTGATTGAGGATCTTGAGGGATAATTAATATATGCAGTACTGATACTAATCTGTTCATTTTTGGTTTGCATGATATACACTTCACTGTTCCATTTCTGATCCATGAGGTCATTACCATTCCATAGGAGGCAGACATAGTCAGATTCATCAGTATGCTATGCATTTACTGTTATTTTAGTGATTTGTCAAAGATAATAGGTTTTTGGAACATAGGGGAATGTGGAGAAGGTAGTAGGCTTGGATGGTCAATGCTCTTGATAAGACAAAGAATCTTATGTTTCTGAAGACCATTTTTATCACTAGATGAATGATCTGTTAAGCTCAGTATTCTAGTCCATGACTTTGGAGCAATGAATATAGCCATTTTTGATTAATATGCAGAAGGCTGCAATTTTATAGGTGAAGGTACTGAAGGAAGAAATGGAGCTATAGAATGGATGAAATGTCAGCTTTAAATAGATTTTAGTATGGATTTGGCTTTCTATGAGCAAAAGATTGATATGCAGAAAGTTAACCTTATCTGCACTTATCTGATCGATTTGTAGGGTTAGGCCATAGGGTTATAAATCGCACTATGAAAGTATTGTCCAGTGTCAGTAATATGTACAGTACACTGCGTGAACAATTTTTAGGCTACTGAGTCCTGCATTAGGTGAATAATGTTGTTTCTTTGATGGAACACAAAGAAACAACATCATAGAAAAATACAAATTTGAATGAACCGTTAAAAAATGAACAAAATTTAATGTCAGTTAAAAATTGAACCAATTTAAAAAATGGAAAATGTTGGAGCACTTGCTTTAACAATACAAAAAACAGAATAAAACGTTTTAAACATTAAATTTAAAACATTCGGAACTTAAAGAGCATTTTTTGTTTTATTTTTTGTAGATAGTAACATTAATAAAAATATTTCTTCTTTGCAGTTAATAGTATAATGATTTATCAAATCTATCTAATAAACAAAGTGATAATTACAAACATATCGCACTAACCTTGTATAGCTTTGCAGTTACTATTTAGAATGTATCACAAATGTTTTTGACTCATTTCTAGGGTCTTCTTCAGGTGTTCTATAAGTTTTTCTAATTTTTAACCATTCAGGTTTCCAATGCTTCTATTTTTGGAATTTATTTTTTAAAATTTCAAAATTTCAATCTCCAAATGATGTGCGCATGCACTAGTTGTTATAGTATTGCATCATAAATATCCTACCATGCTCTTGATAGTTGTTTTTTTTCTTTAAAATTGATTGACAGGCCTTTGCAGTCTGCTTTAAAAATTTCTAACGCCTCAAGATTTTGTAGTTGGTTTATACGTCGGGTTTCTCGAATCATTGTTGCTTGTTGTAGATTAGGTGTAATATTGTATTCATTGGCCTAAGGCAGTGTTGCTTTTCTTTTTTTGAATATCCATTTTGTGCTCACAGAGGTGTTGTTTGAGTGATCTTTTTGTAGATCTGACATATACAAGGTTCCTATTGAATCTTTTATCTTTTAACAGGATTTTATATACTCCTGGTGTTCTTTTGATTTCAGCCCAATCTTTCGTGTTTCTTAACATGCCGAATGTATCTGGCTTACGTCTGTAGGCTATTTTTGCATTAGTGTAAGCCCCAATTTCTTGATATAGGGACTGCATAGGGCGCTTATATGTTATAGCTATACAGTAGGGAGATGTATCTTGTTGTGGATCCTTTTCTGGCATGGCAGGCTATTTATGGCACAATGCTGTAACAACTGGCATAAGTGCACATTGTTTGGAGATTCAAATTTTCAAATTTTAAAAAATATATTCCGAAGATAGAAGCTTGGAGACCTGAACGGTTAAAAATCATAAAAACTTATAGAATACCTGAAGAAGACCCTAGAAGTGGGTCAAAAAACATTTGTGATATGTTCTAAGTAGCAACTGCAAAGCTATACAAGGTTAGTGTGACATATTTGTAATGATTTGTCTTTTTATTAATAAGATTTTATTGAATTTTTTTATTTATTCTATCAAAATAAAATATTAAAAAATTTAATATTATATTTATTTTTATTTACAAAAAGTTTACATTTATTTTACTTATTTATATGTTTAATTACAATCTAAAAGCTAAATTTCATTTAAAAACTTTTCTAATATACAGTGGAACCTGGTTAACTTGAATTGGTTGGAAAAAATTTGGACTTTCAGTGATGGAGATTTGGCTAAAAATCAAGATTTTATGCATTGGTTTATTGGTAACCCATAATAAATTATCCATATAATATTTCTGTGGGTTTTATTATGTAGAATCATTGCATCAATATAAATCTCTCAATGTTGTCCAGAAAAACCCTTAACCAAATGGTTAGATAAACAACTGAGAAATACTTTCCTGAATGGTTGATCCATTCACTCCTAAATGTTTTTATAAGGATTTTTTTTTAAATTGTGATATATTACACCTAGAATTGATGTTTATTTTTTATCACATACCACCTTGATTATGATTGTTATATTTTTAAAATTTTGCCAGAAAGGTTGAAATGTTTACATTGAATCAAGCTATAATTGTTTTATTTTAATTAATTGATCAAAAATCCATTTATTTATTATGTCAGCTAGTTAGAGAAATCAATTGACAATAAAAAAAAACAAAAAGTTCAGAAAAAAAAGCAGGTTAAAATAGCAGTTAAAGTATCTAGGTCAGACACGATGTCTAGAAGACATCACCCTCACCTGCACAATGTTTATTTTCAGTCATATGTGGTTCCTGTGCTTTACAGAAAGTTTTTGATTAGTTCATTCTACAGATGAATATAAATTATTTTCTTTAAATTAAAATTATGGAGAGTTTATGAAAATGCTGTATTAAAATTCTTTTTGAGTTAAACAGTCCTATGAATTTGAGTTAACCAGTTTGATTTATCACATAAATTTCCACACTAGATGATCAGGAAAAGAAAATGACTAAGTAAACATGACTTCAAGTTATCCCAGTTTGAGTTAACCTGGTTCCACTGTGTTGAATTTTTTGCAAACAATTGTCTGTCTTCGAATATCATAATTGAATCTCCAATGAATATTAGAAATTTAACACTACGATTTCTAGTAACTAAATGTATAACTATACTAACGTTAAATGTCAATTTAGCCATAACAAATGACCCTTGTAAGAACATAAAAAAAAATCATAAATAAAGAACTCTTCAATTTATTCATTTGGATTAATGTTTTCTAAACTCCTTTTAATTTTATTGTTAGATCTTTTCCATCAGTTTTGAGTTAAAATTAGAAAAATCACAGTTCAAATGTTTCAAACTATCAAAATGTGAATGAATTTGGTTAAAATGTAAATCAAAATGACACATTCAAACACATTTTCAGTTTAAATATACAGGTATACCTCGCCTTACGTTGGTAATTGGTTCCAGGAAAACGACTTAAGTCGAAAAATGATGTAAGTCGAATTTACTTGTCTCTGAATCTACTTGTCACTAGGAAAAACCATAAATTACTATTCCCAGTTCTGTATTTTATTTATTAATGCATTTTTAATAATATATGGTTAATAAGAATCTATTTTAAGCTTACAAACAAATAAATTTTAGTTTTTAATAGAGTACAGAAAAAAGTAATCTAAATTTACGAATGCATGTACTGTACTGTAAATACAGTACATACTTGTAAATGTATATATTTTAATATGATTTTATGTGCTTTAAACATTTTTCTAGTGATATTACGACTTCAATATTTGTGGCGAACGGACGTAAAGTCGAATAAAATGACTTAAACTTGATTTTTATTTTTCCGTATACTTTTTTGACAAACGACGTATAATCGGGAATGACGTAACTCGAAACGACGTAAGTCGAGGTATACCTGTAATTTATGATTATGCCTCCAAAATAGTTTCATTGTAAGGTTAGATTTAAACATTTAATAATTTTAAAGGTTATCTTAAATATGATAAAGTTTATAAGAATATCCTTGTTGTTTCCTATATTTCATATTTACACGAACTGCTGCAATGTAAAGTTCTACTGTCATAAATGTGCATGTCCTGAAAGCAGGCATAATTAACTTACCCTCTGTCTGTTTAATATCATCATCATTATCTTATGCTTTTGTAAATTTTGTATTTTTAATTAAATCTTGCTGATATTTTTTAATTCTTGCCATAATCAAACTAAAACCAGAATTTAAGAAAATTAATAATATAGATGTCAATATTTAATGGACAATAACAGATAAGCTGATTCTGCCTGCTTTTGATGCAATCCCCCTTAACATGATGATATTTGTATTGCAACAACAGAAGTGAATATGATAAACAGGAAATAAAGAAGAATGTTTTTACATCCTTGTCTATGAGAGTATTTACACTAAAATAACCTATAAAGTTATAAATTATTTAAATATAATCTTGAAAAGCAAAAAACTGTTTGGAAATTTTAATCATAAAATACATTTGAACTGAAGATATTTGAAAAGTTATAAGAAACTGTACAATAAGCAGAAAATACTTAACTTTGATAGAATGAAGTTTAAATTTAAGCATTGATTCTTTGAATTTAAAAATTTAAACTTTATCCTGATGGAGTGATCTGAAAGGAAATTAAAATGACTTTGAGAAAAACTTGATTAGTAAATTATGGACCTTATTTGTATAATTGTTAACAATATGCTTTTAGTATTAAGTTATCTGGAAATTCATATTTTTATAAATTAATTTTAAAAATTGGTTGTAATAGACTTGAAATTTGCTGTATTCTTAGATGCAGATATCATATCTGATTTTAGTTCAAAGGATTTTCTTTCTGATGTAGATAAAGAATATCTGTATTTATGAAAACAGCTACTTAAATTTTGAAATATCTTCCTTTTACATATAAATATAAGAAATAAAAATAATCCATGTAAAGAATTCAGAATATCTGTTAAAATATCCAAGTGACATTCATCATAAATAAAAGGAATGAATTCAGTTAACCAAACTAATCCCATCACAAGAAATAACTTGATATATAGCTTGAATCTGCAAAAGAAATCAATAAATTTGATAAAATTAGATTCATATATAAACCAATACTTTTTCGATTTCAATATATAGTTATATAAAGTATTTAAGAACTAACATTTTAAAAATAATACAGGGTCTTCTAAAAATAATGCTACCATTTTAAATTATTGTAATTATGTTAATTATTATTTGAGTTGTAATGTACAGTACATTAAAACATTGGAAAACTTTCTAAGTTTCACATTTGCCCATTTCAATTTCTCAATCTGTGCACCTTGTGTCACATAGCACACATCCAACCAACATATTCAATCAAATTCATCCTGCGTTGCTACAGCATATCTGTTGTCATTTCTTCCACAAGAGTTACAATTCTAAAGCTCCTTCAGATTACAAATGTTATGCAATGGTGAGTGATTTTGACTGCAAATCATAGAACACAAAATGCCTTTGCTATTGGATTGTCATCATTTTCATTTATGACACATCCTAGAAGTAATAGACAACAAGATGTTTGAATCAGATGGGAGATGAAACTTGGATGGTTAATGTATTGATTGAAGTACATTGCATACTTCTTGGATAATAATTAACATAATTACAGTAATGTAGAAGGTATGGTTGCTGCATGTTCAAATTCTGTGTGTAGCGTCCTTGTAATCCAGAGAAAAGGTTCTTGGTAGACAATCAAACAGCAATTGGTTAGAAAAAATTACAGTTTATTTTGTAAAAATGTGTTTAATTATTCAAATGCATTTCAGGTTGGTTTATGTTTCCAACCCCTCTTCAGTGCTGTTAAAAATACAAAATAGAGTAAGGTTTATAACATTGGTAAATATATTGATATTCGAATTTTCAAAACAAATATTTAAATAACAACATTTTTATTGGAGAAAAAATTGGTCAACTTCTACAACTCCTAGACAAAAAAATTAGAATATTCACCTAACTGAAAGTTTAGTGTAAATTTTCTCATGAACAACACAGAGTACAAAACTTTTTCCAACACTACATAAACAGTGCTTCTGTATACTTATTATATCCATTAATCAGACAAATTAATTTAAATGTTTTTGTTACAAATAGAAACAAAATGACAAAAAAGTACAATAACAGTTTGATCATGACAAAAAATTAGAATATTAGCAAAAACAGCCAGACAAACAGCCATAAATAACTAAACTGTAATGAAAATTTGCATATTTCTGGGCAGAGCAGTATAACAGTACAACATAGGGTGTAAGCATGACATCAGTGACAAAACTTAAGATACTATCATAGCCTTATACAAAGCAGGATGAACACAAAACGAAATTACAAATTATGTAAAATGCTCATAGCCAACAGTCTGAGTACTGAAACAACAAAACCATGTTCAAATTTTAACTAACAAATGCCAGAAATGTGGACATAAACAAGCAACGACTGCAAGAGATTAGAGAAAGTTCAGAAGGATTGTCATGCAAAACCACTTTAAAAGCATTAAACACTTGCATGCACAATGGAGACCAAGGGAAGTGAATGTTAGTAGCCTAACCACATGTTCAAGGTTGCATGACTTGCACATCAACTGCCGTGTTCCCACAACAAAGTCGAATGTCATTGTCTTATGTCTTGATGTAATAATACAATTATTAAACAAAAAATTGATATCCAAACAAAAACATCTGAGATGTAGAAAAATTTCACCAAGTAAAAGCTTATGAAATTTAGACAACAGTCAAAACTTTTTTTAGCAGTTATCCTTTGGTAAAGATAAGCTTGGCACTTCAAAGCAGTACCCACAAGATTTTTAATGTATTATTCTTTTCTACGTTTTTCTTCAAAGCACCAAACTTATCTTTACCAAAGGAAAACTCCTAAAGAAAGTTTTGACTGTCATCTAAATTGTCATAAGTTTTTACTCAGCGAAACTTTTTTACATTCAAACTTTTCCACACATATTACAAGTCTAGAAATATCACAGCTTTACAACAGCAATGTTAAAAATGTTTCTAATTATTACCTTTGGTAACCTCAACTTTAGTATAATGAGTGATCAGTTAATGAACAGTTCGGACAACGAACACTTTCGCAAAAGATTTTTGTGTTTGGACAACAAACACCTCACAGAAAAAACACAAGAAGAAGCTTGACACTGCATTTAAGATTTGTAAAGCTATATTTTAGTGGCATATATGAATGGTTTATGGAATGAGACTTTCACAGTTGTATACATAACCTTTAGCACTAGTTGATTTTTGTTCTCTGAATTTTTGTAAGTGCTTTTCTGAACTTTTTATTTAAAAAACTGATAATATTATGGGACCTAAAAAGAGTGGAGTGTCAAAAACTATATTCACTGTAGAAACTAAGCAGGAGATAATAGCCAAGGTAGAGAGTGGGCAAATGATGTCTGATGTTGCTAGGCAGTATGGCTTCAACAGATCTACAGTAGATACAATCTTAGCTAATCTACAATCTTAGACTGAAGACTTAAGCAGATAAAGGAATAACGAAAATCACATCTGAGAAACAAAGATATGCCATTCATGAAAAAAATGAAGAGATTACTTATAGTTTGTTGTTACATATAAATAAACATAGTAAGAAATTATATAATTTTTTATTTACATTTTGGGGTCTCCAGAACAAATTAATCAAATTTTCACAAAAATCTATGGTAAATCAATAATTGGTTAACAAACAATTCAGGTAGCGAACATTGTCTTTGAATGGATTGTCATTAACTGATTACCCACCACTGTAGTTTTTGTAAAAAAATAAACTAAATTAACAGTTCCTTACTTTAATTTAAGAATATCATATTATTAATTATTATTTAAAAATTTACAAGTGAATTTTCTTAATTATAGATTTAATATGAATATGATTTTCTTAATTATAGATTTAATATGAATATGAAATCTTGAGTGTTGTTAATTTTATATTTCAACCAGCTGTTACCTGCGAATTCGCCCGTGGAGGTTTTGCAAGCAAACTCCATTGATATTCAGTATTTCAACAACCATAGTAATTGTTATATAACACCTACCACCGAGAATGATGAGAATTGCTGTGAATCAAACAAACTATTTTCAATTTGATCAATTTTCTGGAACGTTTACAATTGTTCTATAATCGAACCAATAAGCAATAACAAATTCAAATTTAAAACAGTTCGAACATTTGGTTAAAAAATCGAAATATATAAAAATATTTATAACAATGTCTGAAATGTTATCAATTTAAGGGAAAGTATGGAATCAATTTCAAAAGTCGTTCTTCAGGTTAAGCCTTAATGCTCTCCCTCTCCCCCGCTGGGGAATTTCAAAAAATCCCTTCTTTGTGTGCATTCCCATGGCATACCCTACTAAAACACAGTTAAAAACAAAAAATCACATCTAAAATAGTACATTAGAAGCCATTTTTCCAGTTAAGCCTTAATGCTCCCCCATGGGGGAATTTCGAAAAATCCCTACTTAGTGTGCGTTTTCATGACATCCCCTAACTGTGTACCAAATTTCACCTCTTTAGGTTCAGCAGTTTGCTCTGGGCGATAATGAATCAGTGAGTGAGTCAGTCAGTCAGGACAAGCAATTTTATATACACTAGAGCGTCGGTTTTCCGAATCAATTGGGGACTGGGGTTGTTCGTATAACTGATATTTCAGATAACCGATTTATGTACGAAAAACTAGTTTAATGTATCCGATCTTGAAATTTTTCTCTGTTGCATGTCGCTTTGCGTTGAATTTTCGTAGATGTTAAGCCTAAAGAAGACTATTGTATCATAAAAAATTATTTTTTTATTTTGTACAAACAAAATAAATATATTGAAAAATATAAAAACAATAAAAAATTATACTTCGGATGTTAATTTAGTATCAAAAACGTAAAATATTTGAGTGGCCCAAGACATAGACAAAGATTGAAGCGCCACAGCACTGGTGAAAATTTAAATTTGCCAACTGGAATTCTTTCAGATGATTTACTTTCGGAAAATCGACGCTCTGCTGTATATAGATAAATTATCTATTGCTATAGAAATTTTATAAACTAGAGATAGCTTATCATTTCTATTTATAAATTCATTAGTTTACTTTAAATATAAATGTTTAAAATTAATTACTTACGTATTTCTTCCTTGATTTATTTTCAGAATCTTCGTTGTATTCTTAACTTTTATAAGTGCTTTTGTTGTTAGTATAAACATTACTAAATTAGCAAACAGTATTACACCAACTGGAATGCTTAAATATATAATTGATGCATTTCTTCCTGTTATCCAGCAAGTGTTTTTTCCAATTTTTGGATGAAACTTTTTAGTTACAAATTTGGTATTTTGTATCACAATGATAGGCATTGAAGTCAGTATTGAAGCTATCCATGCATATATTGAATATATACAGTATTTGTTTCCACTAAAAAATTGTGATTTTGGCATCATTGTAGAAAGTGTTTTCCATAAATCGTAGGTCATAACATTTGTCCAATAGAAAGTTGCCATAAATATGAAATAAGTCAAAATTCCTAATGTAATGCAGAAATAATACGGAACATAAGGTTTCAGGTAGAAATCAAGTAGGAGAAGAGAATATGTAGTTCCTAAACAACCAGATAGCGATTTTAAAATTTTCCCATGCAAAGTGTTTAGTTCGGAAATACAATTATATATGATGATGGTGATGATAATACAAATTATGGATAGAATCAAGCTTATAATGATGAATAATTCAAGAGTTTCAGAAAATAAGCAATATTTTTTATTTGTAAAAGTATTACTTATATTGCTCTTGTTTTCATTACTGATTTCCATATTTCTTTTTCTGATAAGTATACAAATTTTTTTCATTAAAATGGATTTTTCTGATTCTTCTTTTGAAAATTATTTCTGTAACTCCTAGCTCATTCTGTAAATATTAAAGCATATAAATTATGAATTAAATTTAAAATATATTTTACAATAATTATATAAAATAAATAATATATAGTGATGCCTTGTACTTCAAATTTAATTTATTCCAGGAGGCCATCCAAACTCTGAATTCTTTGAACTCTGAATCAATTTTTTCCGTTTGGAATAATGGAAAGTAATTTAATCAATTCCCAGACCCATAAACGATACTCATTTCAATTCTCAGATGCCATGGTTAATAAGTAAAGGTTGTATTATGTTGATCAGTAATATTTTGCATATTGCCACAGTTCACTTTTTTCCAAGTACCATGAGACAGTAATTATCATCTCTGTCTATGAATTGGAAGGTCTCCAGTTCGAAATGTTCAAAGACGAATTAGTTTTTTATGTTCACTTTCTAAAAGTTTCGAGAATGTTCTCGTATGTTAACTCACTATCATTTGCATATTTCAAGAATGTTCTCTCATGCTATAAAACTGCAAGCTATCAGATTAAGAATCATTTTTCTTGTACTACGATCTGCAGATTTATTACTGTTCTGTGGATTAATAAACATCCCTTTGGGGTACCAATGACTGGTTGTTGTTCACCTTTCATCTATGCCACAATATTTTTAACAGCTATCCTTACTTTTATAGATGTATGATTTAATTATAACAGTTGTGAAATTTAACACATTATTGCTAATGTGAGATTGTATTGTAAGGAACCAAGTTTGAGCGTTATTTTTTAGTTACTTTTATTTTTGCTTATTATTCTATTTTTGTTTGGGGCTTATGTTTTGTTAGGACGAAGGTTTCCTCACCATTCACTGTAGAAACTTAAAAATAGAAGAGAGACCAACTCACTGACGAGAGAAAAGCGCCATAGGAAAATCTCGCGCACACTTGTGCTCCCGAGCGGAAAAAAGTAAGTCCGTACCGAAAAAGGGGAGGAGATCCCACAAGCACAACTTAGGAAACTTGCTAAACCTAAAAGAATAAAACATCCCGAAAATTGTAAAAAAAATAATGTAAAAGGTTAGCGAGTATTGTCGGAAAATAGGCTGCCAGACAAACAGAAAAAAGTTTTTTAGCAAATAAGTATGTAAATGAGGGGAGCGATCGCACTCAGAATTGTGACGTCACCTCACAGTATAAAGACCGAACCTCAAATGAAGATGGACGAGGTGAGCTTCTGTTAGCAACGAGCGTGGTGAGCTTCGTAGCTACAAACGAAAGAGAGGTGTCCGATAGGATAAAGTAGTTTCAAAGCGATTTTGAATTTATTCAATTTGTGGATCGAAGATTAGAGAAAGTCTTGAGAGTTAAGGAAAAGGTTCCTAGTATATTGAGGTGACGATTAGGATCTTTAATTCATAAGAATTATTGTATATAAGTTAAGTCTTTGAATTTTGTTGAATTCCAAAGGGGAATAGAATTAAGTTAGAAAATAGATTGATTTGAGTTTTGTCAGGTTGATTCTTATTGATTTACATTGAATAAATTGTTATTTGATTTTACTAAATTTTGTATAGTTATTACTAGAAATTTTATTAAATATTAGATTGTTTTTGACTAACATGGTCATTATTTAATTCGGTGCACATTTAAAGTCCAGGCCTGGCACACTAATGCGAATCCGCACCCATTAGGGAACGGCTATTTCCGGCACACAGTTGTGTCGATAATCGTTGTAGAAAGTCGGAAAAATAATATAGTACTTTACAGTATGCTTGGTTTAGAAGTTTTTAAACTTTTTACTTCATATTTTATTTGAATAAAATCAAGTTGAAATGTCTTTGGATAAATACACTCAAACAAACCTTTACATATGCAGCCGTAATTTAATAGATAAATTCAAACGTTTTCGACCATATTCAATGCTCTTTATCAAGAAAAACTGAAAAATCAAACTTCGAACTAAAAATTTGCGTTACCGATACAGGCGTTATTTTTGGAACCTATATGTAAAGGTTTGTTTGAAGGCTGCATATGTAAAGGTTTGTTTGAGTGTATTTAGTTAAGAAATGCAGTCTCTGACGAGTTATGTCTTTGGATAAAAAGCATTTTAGGCATATTATGCTTTATGAGTTTTATAAAGGATATAATGCTGTACAAACAGTAAAACAATGTGTAATGTGTATGAAGAATATGCTCCAAAACTTCATACATGTCAGGAAATTTTAAACTGAAAGACACAAGATATACGGAGCTGTTGATGAAGAAAAATTGCTAGAAGAAATTGCTAAAAATAGACAAATAACATACAATATGTATAATTGAACATATAAAAAATAAAGTGAAATAAGCACTGAAAACACTCAAGCATAACACAAGAGATGCTTTCATAGCAAGAGTAAGAGATGATTTGGGTCCACAACATACAACATTTATGCAGTGAGCACATTTTTTTAATGCACACATAGTTCAAATTTGGAAACAACATTCGAACTTTGGAGTTAGAAGTACAAAGTACCACTGTATAAGAATTATAAATGCAACATATGTTCAATTTAATAGACTAATAACAGAAAAATTATACAGTACTTATCAAAATAAATTAATTATATTTATGATAGATATGATTTATAAATAAATAAAGATTCATGTTGAAGAAATATTTAATAAATATGTTTGAATCACTCATTGACTTTATTAATAAACTTTGCAGAATGGCCTCTCAATATTGAACTTTAATTACATTTATTTTAATACTCATTTTAACACATTTTGTTTTAAACTCCTAGCTCATTCTGTAAATATTAAAGCATGTAAATTAAACTGTGTTATGACATCTGCCCAATAGAAAGTTGCCATAAATATTAAAATTCTTAATAATAGGCTAAATAGATATATTAATTTCCCAGATATTCTGCTTTAACTCTGCCATAGTCCTTGATCAGTTCTCATACATCTTGCTCTTGAGGTATCCCCAAAGAAAGAAATTTGAAGGCATTGAGGTCAGGTAGTCTTGGAGGCAATTCAATGTTCTCTCATTGTGAGGTTTCTCAACTTGGGAACATCTGATTAAAGACTTGCATTGAATTATTCCCAGTATCAGCCGTTGCTACATTCTATTGAAATCAGAGATTTTGGTATTCAACATTACACTAGTACAACTCCAGTTGAAAAAAGCTGTGAAGCATTTTCATATAGTGAGTTAATTTCTTTGAATAAGGAACCTGCCTTCTTCATCTTCAAAGAAATATGGATAAAAGATTCTACACCATACCAAGCAATAACCATAACACTATGTAAAGCTGCACTGAGACTAACATAAATTAAACAATATAATGTAATTTTTTTATCAAATATATTACATATTTGATAAAAAATATATAAGTTCAGAACTTTGTTCCATTTTGAAAATTAATTGAAAGGATTTTAATTATTTGATTTCAGATTTATTTTGTATAGCACCACTTGTCTATTTTATTTAGGTAACCAAAAGCACTGCCAAACTGTCAAATATTGACAGTTTGGTAGTATAAATGACTAACAAATTGTAAGCAGGACTATTGGAAGGAAAACTGGAGATTCTTCACTGGGAATAAAGAAAATTTAGAGCCTTTAATGGTTACCCTATAAATGAATATTATTTTTACAAAAAGAAAAGAAAATTTTTAAGACTGCTTTTTATTAATTAATAAAGAAATATTCAACATATTTCATTTGTTCAAAAAACAAAAATGGCAAAAGAGGACTGCTCTAAGCCAAGGCCCCATACAAGCTCTCACTGATCCTGATTGTAAAATAAATTCTGTTCTTTTGTAAAGACCAATCCAGAGTTGTGGGAGAAAGTGTGGGCTGATTACATGGATTTAAATCTAAAATAAGCAAAGTTTTTCAAATAAAGATTAAGTCAGAATCTGAATGTAATTTTAGTAATTGTGTGTCTGCTCAGAGGTTTCAGTGCCAAATCAAATATACATTTAGACAACTCTATTTAAAATTTATTTTGTATTACAAGTACAATCTATATATTAACAGGACTTATTATACTGGAATTATGGATGCAGATATTTAGTCTTACAGTTCAAAAATAATGTTCTTTATTTAGTTCACCTGTTAACCAACAGGTGAACTAAATAAAGAACATTATTTTTGAACTGTAAGACTAAAAATCTGCATCCATAATTCCAGTATAATAAGTCCTGTTAATATATAGATTGTACTTGTAATACAAAATAAATTTTAAATAGAGTTATAAAAAAAAGGACAAAAAGGCATATTAATTAATTATACATTTAGACAGTTCACTAGCTTGCCATCATGCAAAGTGATGATTAACTAATCTGATTGTTAGCATTCTTGATATTGCACTAATATACTGAGTGATAGTATTGTGACTTTATTTCAGAACAGAATTCTATAAATTCCCTGTTTTGTTTGGTTTGATTACCTGACAACAAGATTTATTTATCCCAAATATTAGCCGTCATTTATTACTTTCAAATTTGTATTCTAATTAAAAGTATTAACACTTAAAAGATTTTGGTCTTTCATCTTATTTATTGTTAATTTTGATTCTCAAGTGTTTTCATGTCAGTATTTTTGGATACTGATTCATGAAAATATAGTAAATCCATATTCATGAAATAGAATTAAAAATAACTACACTTTACCAACCTTTAATATGCAGTCTATTTTATTAATGTAATCTAACATTTTTGGTCAATTTGGTAGTTATTTTTTTGAAAGTGCAGTTCAAGAAGAGTGTAGAATTAAAAATATCATAACTAGGGGACTTTGCTCCTCTGGCCTCTGTATATGCATTCCAACGCCAAGCTCACTTCATCCACTTGTTTTAAATAACCATAGAATATTCATAAGAAAAATTTCAATATGTATATTTGTGTATATACTTAAGACAAATGAAAAGAATTGAACAATTCTGAATAAGGATTTGATAACATATGCTATGTTCAAATATCCATTTTAAAATGCATCACTGCACTCAAATGAATTTATAAAATCTTTTTATTCAAACTACATAAAAAGCTTTTTTCCTGATTTTCTTCAAAGTTGAACATAGAACAACAATCAGATTTCAGAACCAAAAAAGTTTTGTTCAAAAATCTGAACAGAATTTTTGAAAAAAATCAGTTGAACATTATAATTTTTTGAAAGTTCCACAGAAAAATGTTCTAATTCCATGGTTACATGATTTTCTTTTGCTTGTTCACCTCATCCACTTGTCCCTGACCTAGACTATTCATAACAAAAATTTTATGGCTAAAAAGTGAACACAAGTAGAGCTCTCTTGTTCCAATTTTAGATTCAAACCATTGTTATTGTTGACCATTTCAAAAAGTCTTGAATTTTGATTGTTCCTCCAAATTATGAACACATCATCCACTTATTTTTTGTATAATATTATGTCTTCTGTGAAATATCTGAGGATATTTCTCTCAAGCTTACAAAGTATAAGTTTTCATAAGAGTCCTGACATTGGATCGAGACATCCTACTTGCTTTGCTGGATCATGCTATAGATTTCGTTCACTTATTCAAAAATTTTGTGGCAACAAATCACCAATTTCCAGTGCCATTGTTTCTAGTTTTTCTATGACAGGAAAAGGTGTCATGACAATTTTAAGCTAAGCAGTTCATGTATGTACTGTAGAGTAGATATTGTAACTTGATACTTTACTCATAATTTCTTTACTGACAAATATAATTTTAATTATATTGTTTGTTTTAGGCATAAAGTAAATCATAAACTAATGAAAATTTGGTGTTTATATTTAAAAATAATAACTATTTTGAATAAAATTATCATTGATAGGATATATTTTATATTTACCATTTTTTATATCAATTTTATATTTAAAATCTGTATACATAGTTCACCAACTAAATAAACATTTTAGGAACAAGCATACCATACAACAAACAAAAAACATACAAATATAATACAAATGTTAAAAGCCCTAAGGACATTAAAAACTATTTTTTCTATATGAAAATCAGTATTTTTATTTGCTTTATTTGAAATAAAATAATAATAATAATAATAATAATAGAATATTTGCTATGCTTGAAACAAATGCTAATTTTATAGAATAATAATTTGTGTTACTTGTTTCCAGTTCTATGTTCTATAAAAAAAATACTGTTTTATAACAAATGAAAATATTAAACTAATTATAATAAACATTAATTAATTAATATATAAATATTTACAAAAATTACATGTATAAATTATATTTAATTTATGTTAATGAATGACAGAAAATTGCTATTTAAAAGTTCTACTTAAGAAATGTTTATAGATAATTGCTCTAATTATATCCAAAATCTTAAAGGAAAGATATGCAAAAGTGCACTTTCAGTTTCTGAAAATTTAACTTACAAATTTTAAATACTAACTGTTTAACTGATTACTAAATGGTAAATTACTATATTTATTTTCAAACAATATGTAAAAATTCCACAGTAAACTAACTATTGGTAAAAGTTAAACAAACTACATTTAATGAAGGAATAGTCTATTAATGTAATATGAAATAATTACATTAATATTCTATAATAGAAAAATGCAACTAAATATTAAAACAAAACTATTTATTTTTAAAAATAATTAATATTAAAAGTATCAAGAAATATTGACCTACTGCTCCAATTTGTCATAATCATTTAATGTAGTTTGAAATCAAATATATAACTTATCAAATATTGAAAGGAAGTTATATATCAAAACTATAAATTAGTTTTTCAATGTTTTCCTTTCCATAAAGGAAATACTTTTCACTGAAATTATTTGATAAGAAGTCTTTAGATATTTAATTAGAACTTTATTTTGGTTCAAGTTTTTTGACAGAGCACTTTGCCTTCACAATACATTAATAATTTTCTGAATGCTGTTATAATAAATTTTATAACAGCATCAAGTATATTATGATGTTTTATCTAGAAAGTCAATACATCAATTAGTTATATTACATCTGAAGTAGTAATAAAGTAGAAATATGTATTGCTTTAGTTTTTTCCAGATTTTGTAGGATTCATATAAGTATGATTTTTCTCATAATATGGAGATAAAATACAAGCAATAAAATACAAATTGAAACAATAAAAATATATTTACATTTATAACTCATTTTATAAAGCAGAAGTTCCATCCTTTTTGCTATGAACCACTGAAGGATCAATCAATTTAACTGGAGATTAATCAATTATGAGGGGTTTTTAATAAAAGTTAAACAGACTACATTTAATGAAGGAGTTGGTGGACAAATTTACTTTTGCTTATTTTAAAACGTAATATTTAATAATAATAACAGTAAATCTGAAAATCCAAATGTCAAAAATCTGGATTTAGCCATCAAAAAATTAATATCTGTGCCAAGTGAAAAAAGTCACTGAATGACTATATATACAGGAATCAGAGTTGCCAATTTTCAGGGTTGATTTTTCCATCCCCAAATACCCATAATAATTCTGAATGTTTTGTTTGAAAGATAACACTAGTTTACAGCCATTTTTGTGACTGTGGGAAAAAGGTTCTTTTTTTTGTTAATTCCTATGCACTGAACACAAAAATTAAGTTAAAAATTCTCTGGCACATAAGGTTTTTGAGTTGTGATCTTACAGATGCAGAGACTTGATGTTAAAATACAGATATGGTAGAACCTTATTTTAATGGATTGCTTGGGCTAACGAAATTCATCCATTATATCACAGACAATGAATTTTCCACAAACCTTGGAAAACATTTGATGATCAAAAAAATTCCATTTTCCAAACCAACAACTACCTACAATTAACCATTAACCGGTGCGAAATTCTTTAAAATCGGCGAACGTTTTCAATTCCCCTCCTGGGATCTTCTTCAGGCTTACTTCTTTATAGCTTTCGTTATAACCGGATTCTTTAATTCGAATGTTTTTGAAAAAATACGTAACGTGCCATTTTTCGAAAAAATTTCCGAAAACGGAAGGAATCCACGTGTTATTTCAAATGTAATTTTCTACCAATGGGGAATCGTTGAAATAACACGTGGATTCCTTCCGTTTTCGGAAATTTTTTCGAAAAATGGCACGTTACATATTTTTTCAAAAACATTCGAATTAAAGAATCCGGTTATAACGAAAGCTATAAAGAAGTAAGCCTGAAGAAGATCCCAGGAGGGGAATTGAAAACGTTCGCCGATTTTAAAGAATTTCGCACCAGTTAATGGTTAATTGTAGGTAGTTGTTGGTTTGGAGTATATACAACCCGGTGTGGTGAGAAAGCACATTAATTAAATTCCATTTTTTACCCTCTATACATAAGAAATACCTGTACCTGAAATTATTCAGTCTCTCAAGATCTCTCTATTTTATTCTACAGAAACACATGTTACAAGATCATATATTATGTCATACATGTGTACGAGAAAGCTAATAGAAACTGTATCTACTGTTATACACAAAGAGGCAGATTACATAAGCTTGTTAGCATTAACTTGACTTCACAATTTGTTAAAAATTGTCCATCTTGGTTTATTTTGATGCCACCTTTCTGCCTTTCAAATACAACAACCACTTGGTATTAGCAATGTCGTGTACTTTACAGTCTATTCTTTTATAAATAATCTCATCAATACACACTGTAAAATATATGACTTATTCCGGACTCAAAACCAAACCAGTGCTTATTTCTGAAATAAGCACTGTTTTGGTTTCGAGTCTGAAGTAAGTCCTATTCTTTTATGCTGAGATTTACTGAGATTTATCAGGAAGATCTTCATGACTTGGAAGAACTCAATGGCTTTACTAAATTTCAGCACTACACTTGGACCAGCATCAGAATGTTCTGTAGTTGGCTTCTGCTCAATTGTATTAGTTTTCTGACTCTCTTCATACAATTCTTTTATTGTACATATCAGCAATATAACAAGTGCATCATCAAACTCTACAACTTCCTGGAAACACCCAAATATTGATTAAAAGTTGAAAAAACACAAAGTTTACAATTGATGGAGCTAGAAAAATATTTTGAGTTACAGATACAGTAAAAGTAGGATGTTTTCAATGGCACCTCCATTGTTGATGTTCTTTTGATCTTGTGGTGGTGGTGGTGTTTTAACATTCATTCAGAATTTTAATTTCAAAAATATAATTAATGCATTTTGTTTTAATTAATGTAGTGATTCTGTAAATTAAATTTTGAATCTTTATAAGTATATATGTGAAGTAGTGGCCTGAACTTGAATTACAAATATACATATATGAAAATCCAGAGTCTGGCTCAAATTAATCCAGATTTTCAACACCATTAACCACTTGACAGTGAGGGACAGATATATCCGTCCAGGGCAATTGTGTGGCAGTGGTGAGGGACGGATATATCCGTTAAATTCTTTTGGGGTATTGCCAAAAACTACCACGAAAAAAAAATTCCACATAAAAAATGAATTATGTAAGAATAAAAAAAGCTTTTTCTTTACTAGACATAACTGTTTACAAAATCTTTTTCCAGAAGGCTAATGAGAAAAAACATGTCGAAGAATACTTTAAAAATTTTCCATGTTTATTCTCCACTACTTTGGGATAGCACCATACCTGACTATTTTGGGATTGCACCACTGTTGAAAGATTAAAATTTAAAGATACAGTGGTACCTCAGGATACGAAATTAATCCGTTCCGAAACTGAGATCGTATCATGAAAATGTCGTAAGGTGGATCATCTTTTCCCATACGATTACATGTAAAACCAAATAATTCGTTCCAACGCGAAAAACATACTCAAATTAAAGCCAAGTAATACATTTAAAAAAATAACTGTAGTAAGAAAAACAAATGAAAAATGCGAACTAATGTAACGTCGTATGGTGAGTTTTTGTTCGTATCGTGGAGCAAAAATATGTTCGAATTTCATGTCGTATCCTGAAAATTTCGTATGCTGGGGCGTTCGTAACCTGAGGTACCACTGTAATTTCAGTTATAGTAAAGTAAGTTATGTCAAAAAATTTTGATTAAGCTTAATAAAAAAAAATCTATTATTATTAATGCTCATCTGAGTTGTTGTTTATATATTTTATTCTTATTTTGTATTGATGTAGAAAGGGGTTGATAAATTAAATCAGAATTTGGAAAGAACTTTAGTATCTACAAGCAAAAAAATGATTGACAAGTATAGTAGAGCATTGATTATCTGAATGTCGATCAACCGAAACATCAATTAATCGAAAGCTTTTTGGTCAGCAAATTTAAATTTCTGCTAGTGTTGTGGCATTGCAATCTTTGGCTATGTCTTGGGATACTCCAATATTATTTTTGTTGGTGTATTTGTTTTAGCTGGCAGCACTGGTGTGACCGTGAGAGGGTACTTAAGGACATGCCAGGATTTGAACAAATTTCAACATGGGATAGGTTAATATATTTTTCGTACATAATCGGTTATCTGAAAAATCGATTATCCGAATCAACTAGGGATTGGGGTTGTTCGGAAAATCGATGTTCTACTATACTGTTATTAAGTTTTTATACTTAATAACAGTAATTCAGTATTAGTTTATTCTGTTTTAACCTAGATGTAATAAATTGATAAAATAAATTTTATCATCAATTTTAAAAGTTGGATTTCATTATAAATCCAATATTTAAAACAGATACTATTCTAATCTAATTTTTAGAAGAATGTTTTATTTTTATCACATGATTTGCAATTTGTTATATTTTAACAATAATAAATACAATATTTTTATAATTATTATTAATGTTTATATTTTGTTAATGTAGGAGAGAATCTGCAACAGCAGCAAGTTCTAGAGGATATGAAAAATAAAATTATTTTTATGGTATTACAATTTATTTCATTCTGTTATTTGAAATTTCTGTATACAGTAGAACCCCAATTATCCAAGTAAATGTAGACCAATGCTTCCTTGGCTAACTGAAAACTTAGATAAAACAGACAAATAAGGTCATTTTAGATTAAAAATTGTGAATTAAATAATTAAGAAAATTCTGGAAGAAACTAATCTGCCCAGAGGGGACTCAAACCTGCAACTTCTGCTTATCATGTAGGTGCCTTGCCAATTACACTACCCGAGCCTTCGAGGTAGTGTAATTGGCAAGGCGTCTGCACAGCAAAAATTATGAATATAATAGATTTTTATGGTATCACTTTTAAGATTCTTTTAATACGTAAGTGAGTGTAATAAGAAAAGCATTTTTTACATTGCTTATTATACTGTTAATACAGTTATATTTTCAAAGGATGACAATAAAATGAATTCAGCCATTCATGTAACAAAAATATAAGATCAACATTTATTTAGTTTCACACAAGTTTATTACTATAACATGTACTGTACAATGAGAAAACACATTCATTTCAAAGTGTACAGTACATAAACCACTGCTGCAGTTCTGACTCAAATAGTTCCACATTCTCTTCAAACATTGAATTTCTATATCCCAACTGCAATTTGACACCATTTGGTGTTTACATTCATTCCACTATAGATTGACACAACTCCTTTTACCAAAGATCACTGTCCTTTCTTTCTCTCCCCAAAACCAAAGTCACAACTTTGAATCCAATGAACCATTCCCAAACTTTGAATCTAACATTCTAAACTAACCATTTATTTCCCCTAACTTCTCTTCAAATTTTCAAAGTGCTTCAATTCTTGTTCTGTGTTTGACTCTCTGAACACTTTATAATTTAAATCTTAAATTTACTTAAATGGAATTGTACAAAATTGTTTCCTGATCATAACAAATACAGACAAAAATTTAAGATATTTAAGAATAAAAATATGTATTATTTTAGCTACACTTTAATATGAACAGTTTGTCTTATATTGAAGTTGGCTCACCAGTGGCTGCATGGATTTTCCAGGTTTTCTTCATGTTTGTAATACTAATCATGAATAGAAGGTCCTCTTGCTAGACATTCTTTTTTGGCAGATTGTCCATGTGTTGTGTTGCTATATCCCGTCAAATCACATCAAAGTTAAAATGAGTAATAGAAACAAATAACTTTGTAATGTATGTTACTGTTTTGAATTAAAAAGTTCAAAACAGTAATATACATTACAAAGCATTTTATATAAAAGTATTTTTATTTGTACTTGGTAAGTTTAAAGTATTTTGTTTTTGTTAATTATTGTACATTTATATTGTTAGTGTACATTTATATCTGGCAACACTTGAAAAGTTGTTAGTCGTCAGAGTTTCGTCTGGTTGTAAAGTTGTAAATAAGTTCTGTTAGTTATTAAAGTTAAGTATTAAAAGAATAAGACAAAAGTAAAGGTAATGCTTTATTTTTTTGTCTTAACAGTTTATAGCAGTTTCTCCCTTTGCTGTAATATTCTGCAAGTGCCTCAGTACAGTGGGAATTAAACTTATTATAGTAATTATGCACTTTTTGTATTCATGACAAAGCTTTTCTGAATAATAGAAAAGCACTGTATTAATTTACAGGTTTGCCTCAGATAATGTGGAACCTCATTTAATCGGGACTTGTATAATCAAGGTTTTACTGTATATATAACTATTTCTATATACAGGGTGGGCCAGCGAAAACGAAACGGCAGAGTTATCGTGTTCGTCCAAGCGAATTGCTCGGACAGATCAATTTTATTCTCAAGGGGGAATATTTTTTCCTTGCATGGGCGATCCAGCTTAAAAGGTTTTTTTATGTTTGTTAATAGTTTGTGTTACTTTTTTTCCGAAATAAATGTTTGTTTAGTTAATAAAAAAATGAATGAGTTTTTAAAATTTTTTGTTGTCTGTTGTATTCAGAATCGTGAAAACTTTATTGCAGAAGATGTCCCCTTGAGAATAAAATCGACCTGTCCGAGCGATTTACTTGGACGAACACAATAACTCTGCCATTTTGTTTTCGATGGCCCACCCTGTATATATATATAATATATAATAAATTTGTTCAATTTCTAAAAAGAACTTTAAAAATTCTGTATAACTAGGCCTATTTAAATATAGAATTTATTTTAAAATTAAAAGATGATAATTTAAAAGTAACTGAAAGTTTTAGCATATATTATTAATTATTTTAACTTTTCTGATTTCAGATGTAATATACAAATACATTATTTTTATCTTGTTTCTGTATCCATGAACAATAATATAAATGCAAATACAAATGAAAGAATCTTGATATAAAACCTCTCTATTTTAAATAATTTATTTATTTATAATTTATGTTGGACTGAACATTTGGAGTAGGGTTTTTGTGTGTAGGGTTTTAATGCCAAACTTTTATTTAATTTGTTTAGAAAGTTCAGTTCAATGGCGAGCACAAGTTCAAAACAAAAGCATAAAATGCTGACTCTAAAAGATAAATGGGACATTATTAAGAAGTGCAAGTGTGGTGAAACTTTGACTGTGATAGCTAGATTCTGTGATTTGAATGTATGTCTCTTTAATCCGAATAAATAAATAAATTCGGTAGACTTCCTCTCAGCTAATAGCGATGAGGAAGTCTACCGGATTTATTTATTTATTCGGATTAAAGACATATACATTCAAATTATGTATATAACAGCTACCACATCTGACATTGAGTAGATTCTATGATATTGGACGAGCTACAGTCTATGACATTATAAAAAACAAAGACAAAATGAAAAAATTTATGAAATCTGTAGAGGATGATTCTAGGGACAGAAAAACCCTTAAAATGAGTGAATTCCCTGAAGTTGAAGAAGCTCTGCACATCTGGTTTAAGCAACAATGAAGCAGACATGCTCCTGTTTCAAGTGACATTTTAAAAATTAAAGTTCAATTTTTTTTTATCAGGAATTGACAAAGAAAACTGATTTTTGTGCTAGTCACAGCTGGTTTAAAAACTTCGAAAAATGGTAAGGAATACGTTTTTGCAGATGAGTCTGAGGTGTCTGAATTTATTCAGAATTTAATCAAGAAGATCACTGAATTAGACCTAACTCTTGAACAACTTTATAACGCCGATGAAACTGGTCTAAACTGGCGGCAACTTCCAACAAAGACATTTGTCACTCCAGAAGAAAAAAAGTTTCTGGTAGAAAACTTCAGAAAGAATGTATCACTCATGGTATGCATGAATGCACAAGTTAAAACTGCTAGTTGTGGGTACATCCAAAAAACCTCACGCCCTCAAAAGTGTTAAAATATTGACGCTACCAGTTACATATATGTGCCAAAGCCGTGCCTGGGTGACAAAAGAAATTTTTTTGGATTGGTACAAGAACAGCTTTGTCCTGCAAGTTAAAGATGAGCTAAGAAAAAAGAAACTGCCAGTGAAAGCCCTCCTCTTGTTAGACAATGCTCCAGAATATCCTGATAAGGACGAATTAAAAATCAAAACTGCCGATGGATATATCGAGGCAATGTACTTACCGAAAAATACTACGGCATTGATTCAGCCCATGGATCAAAACATTATCAAAACTCTCAAGACACACTACAAGAAGTGACTCCTTGTGGATATTGTCAGTCAATCTAATGCTGACATCACATCAATTTTGAAAAAGTTTAACATCAAAGATGTGATTATCATTGCTGCGTTTGCCTGGTAGCAACTCAAACCTACTGCATTGATTAAATTGTGGAAAAATATTTGGCCCGGTAACCCACTCCTTCCAATAGAAGTTGACAAAGAATCCAACGACCAATCTCTGCAAGTTGTACTATATGCTGCCCTTCAAATTTGCAACGAATTGACTAATTCATCAGAATCAAGTGAAACTTTACAAAGGTGGATTTTAGATGATGATCTCGATGCTGACTTAACAGATGAAGAAATAATTAAGAAAATGACAGAATCTGATGGAGATGTGATCCAGGAAGCACAGGAAGAAAAATCTTTCATTGTCAACTGTAATGATGCTGTGTTGGCTGCAAACACTTTGATGTGTTGGTGCGAGGAGAGAGCATATGACTTTGAGAAAATTTTGATGTTACAGCAGATACAAGAACAAGCAATGACAGACTGTCTAAACAAGAAAAAGCAAAAGACAAGCAAAGATTTCTTCAAAGTGTGAGCACAGTATGTACATATTTACATATGTACTGTACATACTGTGCTCACACTTTGTACAATATGTACATAATTAATCTACCTACATTGTGACATTTAGTTATAATTTTTATAAATTACTGTATGTACTATATTATTTATGCCTATATATACTGTATGTAGTACATTTATTGGCTTCCACATTTCTTTTAATAAACATGTTTTAATTAACCGAAATGGCTGTTTTATTTCCATATTAACCTGGGCAGCATTTTACTCATAAAATGTAGTAATATTGTAGGCTACTGCTAGCAAAACAATGCCAAATATGTAATCACTTTCAGTAATCCAGACACTTTTGGTAATCTGACATCCTGTTGGTCCCATACCTGTCAGATTATCAAGAAGGGACAACTGTAATTTGTGTCTGATTGCAAGTTCTTGGTGTATTATATTTGCTACTTGATTATGTCTATGTAAATAATATGTCTGTGCCAAGAGCTTGCAACCAGAAGTGATATTTTGTATAATTTCTGGCATGATGTGACATTTTATTATTATTATTATGTTGGGTTTTGTGAGTTATACTCGGTTATTTCACACCGGTGGCTGTGTACTATGCTGGACCAAAGTCAAGGCATAGGAACCAAAACAAAACTAAAATTAAATAAGTGTGTCAGTGTGTGTGTCTGTATTCAGGAATTTCCTAACAATGTGGCATGTGTTCAATATAGTGGCCTTCTGTAGTGTTATGTATGTATTTCTACTCAATTCTAATGTTTCCAGGCTTTTGTGTAGTGTACGTGGTATCACACCTGTACAGGAGAGAAC